AGTTCAGCCTTCCTTAATAAATTTACTAAAATTGGAATGGTTGACTGAAGATTGACCAAGTCATATTGGCCAGGCTGATCAGTAAATTTATGTCGATCTATATCACTAATCAAAAATAAAAAATATTTTTAAGAATATCTGTTTTTTAGGTTGGCAAGGGAATTAGCGAAAAGAGTTTTTATTATATTTAATATAATAATAAAATTAAATGCTAAAATATATATATGTAAATTTTAAAATTTTTAAACTTAAAATATATTAAATTATAGCTAAATTAGAACTTATACAGGATACAAATCATATATTCTTCCAATCTAATAATTTGTTGTTATTGTTATTGTTATTGTTATTGTTATTATTGTTATTATAAGAATATGAAAATTTTTATTATAGGAACTAATGATAAATAAGTTTGAACAGATTTGATTTTTTAATTAAAAGATAAAAAAATTTGATTGGTTATTAAGTATATATAGATCTTTTAGTGGAGTGAAGTTAGATATGATTTTTGGAAGATTGAAAAAAAAATTTTTGAAAAAGAAATAATAAATTTGTAAAGATTATATTAAGACAAATATTAGATTCAATAACTTTGTTTAAATATATAGTTAAGAATATGTTTGTAATATAAAGAGAGAAGAGAAAAGAAAAGAGAATAATTATAATGGTCAAATAAAGAGAAAAGTATCTAAAGATGAAGTCATAAAGAAGGACTGATATAAACCTTTTCTATATAATCAAAAGCTAAGAAAGACTTTCAACTTGCTTAGATCTTAACCAAAGATTATATTTCAATACAATAGTGTTTCTTAAAGTTTTTATGTTCTTGGATATAAAGCTTATTTGTTTTAAAAAAATAAGAAGAAAAAAGTACTTTTTAAAAGAAAATTTTCAAAAAATCAGTAATAAATAAGTAGGAATTTTTTTTTTATAGTATTAAATTTTTTTTAATTATATATTTATAATTAATAATATTATTTAATTTAATTTTTATTTTTCTTAAATTATAATAACTTAATTAATCAATAATTCTTGAATAATTATATACTTTATTGAAAAAACTTATATAAATAACAATAAAAACAAAAACAATATTTAATTAAAAAGTAATAAAATTTAAAAAATTGAAAATTGAAAACAAAATCTTAATATATAATATTATCAAAAAAAATATTTTATAAAAAAGCTGAAATCAAAATAAAAAAGATTATTTATATTTATAATATCTTATTAAATAATATTTTTAAGCTTAAAATAATAAAAAGAAAAAATTTTATCTTTTTTATTAATTTTTATCTTTTAAAATTATACTATATATATATACTATATATAAACATTCTTTAATTACTGAAAACTTAATACTTAAATTATATGATATAAATATAAATACTTTAATAATTCAGTTTTTTACTTGTATTAAAACCATATACAAATATTATTAAATTTTTAAGTGAAAGAAAAATTTAAAAAAACTAGAAAACTAAGTAAGAGATATAATATAATAAAAGTGATTTATAGAATGCTCCCTATCCATTATAACTGGTCTATTGAGTATGTTTAGTAACTATTGTATTTTTTATAATAAATTTATAAACTTTAAAAAAATAACTTTTAAAAAAATAAAAAAACAAACAAACCTTTAATTAAATAAGAAAGAAGAAAAAACTTATTAAAAGAAGCAAGTATAGGATTACCTAATAAATAAAGAAGACCTTTTAAATAAGATATTTTAATTCTTAAGTTCAAGTTTTCCAACTTTAACTTTTTATTATAACTATGAAAAAAGTATATATTTTGAAAAGTCTTTAACTTTTCTTTTAATCTTTTTATTTTTGGCTTCAATATTTTAAATCTTTTCTTATAACAAACTAGATACTTTAAGATTCTAATCTTTTTTTAAAGCAAAATAATAGTCTTTTAGAATGGATTTCTAAGATTAAAATAAGTTAAGCAAATAGTTTTTGATATATGACTTTTTCTTGAGATTGGAAAAAAATTTTGAATTAAGATTAATTATTTAATAATTTTTAAGAAAATTTTAAATAAACAAATAATAAAACCTACCAAAATTTGATGATATAATAAAAAAAAATTTTTTAAAAGAAAACTATCTTAACAAATATATTTAAAAAAACTGAAATAGAACTATTTCAATATACAGTACAATAATAATTCTTATAATTATATTTGCTATTTTTATATAAAATCTATTTGAAAATACTTTTAAAAATATAAATGTTATATTAGTTTCTTATGATATTTTACAAATTACTAAAATATAAATTTTTATTATCTATCAAAAATTATAAAGAGTATTATAAAAAAAACCTACAAATTTTAGTATTTATATATACTTTCTATTTAGAAAAATTGTTAAAGAATATTTTAAATAAAAAACAATAATTTAATTAAGTTATTAAATTATATTATACTATTTTACTGCATCTAAATAAGTTTATATTATTTTTGAAAGATAAAAATTATATAGCTATATATAGGATTCCTAATGATATTACTTCGATATTTGTTTAATATCAGTTTGATACTTAAATTTACTATAAATTTATATGAATAAATCATAACTTATATATTAAATTTACTATAGATTGGTATCATTTTGATATTACATTAATACCAGTTCAGTATTTTTTGGAACTCTAGCTATATAGAATCCAATCTACTATATTATATATAATTTATTAAATATTCTATTCTAATTTTATTATTCTTATAAAAAATTAAATTTGTAAAACTTATAGATTAATAAAAGAAAATTGATACAATTGATCTTTACTCAATATTTTTATTTACACTTATGAAAATTTACTAGCATTTAACTTTTGAAATATTTTCTTTTTGTTTTAGAATTTTTATATAATTAATTTATTATAGTATTTTTATTTATTTTATTTATTTAAATATTTTTTTCTATTTTAAAATATTTTTTAATTTTGTTTATTATTTTATAAAATATTTTATTAAATAGTATTAATCAAAAATTTAAATATAAATACTTTTAATATTTTGATTTAATATTGATACTTTAAAATATTATATTAAAAAAATTTTTCAGTATAGGTTTATAAATATTATATAAAATAGTATTATTAAAACTTTATATAATATTTTAATTGATATTAATATTTTTCAATACTTTAATTTGATATTGATACTTTAAAGTATTGTATTAAAATTTTCAATAATTATTGATACCAATATCAAAATTTTTTTTTGATATCAATTTTATAAAATATTATATCAAATAGTATTAATTGAAATTCTAGTTTAATCTTATTATATTATTATAGAAAAAACTTTTAATACTATAACATATTGTAATATTATTTAATCCTTTGTAACATATAATAACAAATATCTTTCTGGGAATAAATCTTAGTACTATAACATTGTGATATGTAGTTTTAATCCAATTGCAATATAATATAACTAATAGACTTGAAAAAATTTTCTATAATATTATATATATTACAATTATTTTAAGAAATAATATTGGTATATATCTTATACAAATATACACATAGGAAAAATAATCAATAATAAGGTTAATCAGAAAATTATAATATTGTTTTACAATGCAAAAATATAATCATATTTTTATATTAATTTATTAAATAACTAAACATTATTTACTTTATTATTTCTAAAAGATTTTAATTTTTCTATATGCATATTTTCACCCTTGTTAAATTTCAAGAGTTTTAAAACTTCCTTTATTGTTTTATTGAAAATTTTCACTTCGACAGCTTCGTTGACAGACCATTCATTTTTTTTTATTCTTTAGTACATTGCTATGACAATGGATAATTTACATGGATTTATTTCTTAAAAAATAAAATTGCGAATCAATGTCGCCATTTTCACGTGATCTATTCTTATTGATAACGTGTTATTTTTATTTACAGTATTTAGGTTTCAACCAATGAAAACTTGTTGATAAAAATTACATACATCGCGTTTTAAAACATGAAAACAAATTACTTTAAAGAACAAAGACCAGAATCGGAAAAATCCACGAGGCGCGCCAAATCGGAAGAGCAGTATGAAAGCAGAATATCACAAATACATACAAGAATTGAAGTCCTTTGTCGCTATTTCTAACTTAAGCGACAATCTTCGGCGTCAATTAGATTTCCAAATTAAACTGGTATTGACTTTTCTATATATTTCTATATATTAATTGAATTGCAGTGTCAATGTTAGCAATTGATCACAATTTGCAACTGCATTAACTATATAAAATTTCTCCCAATTCTAGCGTTAGCAAGAAATTTGCACGGTCAATGTTCTTGCAAACTAAATTGATTGCAAATTGTTAATATCGGCACTACAAAAATCAACACTTTTATAATTGCTAACATTGGCACTACAAAATTTTGTACGGTCAATGCTCTTGCAATTATAATTGTATTGGTTTGTTTGTACGGTCAATGCCCTTGCAAAATGAGATCATTGCTAACATTGACACTGCAAGAAATTTGCACGGTCAATGCTCTTGCAAACTAAATTGATTGCAAATTGTTAACATCGGCACTACAAAAATCAACCTTTTATAATTGCTAACATTGGCACTACAAAATTTTGTACGGTCAATGCTCTTGCAAATTATAATTAAATTGGGAATTAAACAACAATCAAATTTTTTCTTCTAAAGATGGCAAGTTTTATTTCAATTCTTTTTAAAGCTTTTAATATATATTAATACCTTTTCGCGCTTTATGTAGTTTCGATAAATTCATCATCAAGTATCACAACCAAACATATATTATCCCGTCGTCGATCTCGATCACAATTAGAGAGAGAAAAAGAAGAATATGATGAATTGGAATCTCATATTTTTAACGTCAAAAGAAAATATGAAGTATTAGCGGTAATTGATTTTTTATTTTAGTTACTCCAACACATTTTATATTGAAATATTAAATTTTATTTTATTTCAGGAAAATACTGATTATGAATTTATTTACCGCTTGTCTAAGAAAATGCTCGATTTGCATAACTTTTCGTTTAATGATCCTCTTCTCTCTTTTATTTTGGATCTTGATAATATAAACCCTATAGTTACCAATTTATTCACACAAGACGAGATTAACAGAATTGCTAATATTGACTGTTTCGTAAAATGGCGAGAATTTGAAGAATCATTTATTTCCTGGACAAGAAAGTTGGCGTCAAAAGAAACTGTTGAAATTCCGAAATTAATAAAAAAAGAAGAATCTGTGAGTATTTATTAGCTACTGTGTATAAAATTATTTTGATAACTAATTTTGATTATGACTTTTTAGTAATAAAATATGGTCCAATGGACGATATAATAATAGACGTAAAGGTGATAGATCTATTCTCGAAGATACTCATCTTCATCTTGTCATTCATGATCTGTTATACGATACTATAGGAGGGATAAACAATGTTAACGTTGATTGGTAAACATTTATAAATTTTTATTCTTGTTAAAAACAATAAATAACTTTAATTAAATTTTAGGAATAGAAAAACCCCGGAAGAGGGAATGAAAAATGTTCTAAAGACTATGACACTTGGCTTCGAGAAATGAATGCGACCGATAAAGCCAAATATCAAACCATGTTTCAATCCTCGCATAACATACCAGACTGGGTAGTGACCTACAATATTGATTCTGTTCCGTATGAGTTTTGTTATGGCGAATCAGCAGGACCAAATCAGAGGGTGATCGACGGAAAGGGATTCGTTTTTGTTGTCGAAACATTAAGACGTGTAATAATAAGCTAAATATGCAATTTAAGAATTTAATTGATGAGAAACTATATAATGACATCAGGAGTATTCCACGTGTATTTATGCTATCATACGGTAAGTCTTATTTGTTGATCCCAATATTACGAATTTTTGTAATAAAAGATGGTTACTTTTTTTTAATAGGTACGAATCTAAAAATTCTATATTACAATAGTACTTTTTAGGAGAGCGATAATTTCAGCTATAAATGATTGGAAGACGCTTGAAAAGACCTTAAACGATATTATGGATCCTCGTACACTACAAATTCATATTATAAAATCAAATGATGACGATGCGATATTCCCGTCACCAAATAAAAGGGTAAAGTTAATATTATAATTATAGTTTAAAGAGATCCAAAATATTATTTAAAAAATAGTCTTATTGTGATGGTAAAATACAGTATATTTAAACTAGTAAATAAAATAAATATTCAATAATCCTAAATTTTTTTTTATTTTTTGTTTAATATAAATTATTTGTTACACTGCATATACGTTTATATAATTTCATATTTGTAGTTATCATTATTATCGCCTTTTCTTCCTTTTTCCTTTTCCTCGCCTGGATTCATTAGGATTTCTACGACCATAACCTATTACTGGAGGTCCACTGGACATTGAAAAAGTTGACCCAATCATTAACTGAGGAACATAATCAGGATCAAAAATATCCACCTCCTTTTTTTTGCGATGTTGTTTTAATGCTCTTTGATACTCCTTTTGATCTTCGCGAAGAATTATATTATTAGCGTGGCGACCACCTTTCGGCTCGGGTATCGAATACTGATCATAGTACGAAACGTATTAATCATCAAACAGATTTGAAATCAAAATCGAAAGCAATTTACCTTTGTTCCACGTAGATTATATTGAAAATTCTTTTTCAAGTAATATGTCACCTTGCCGTTTGCATCAGTGCTAGTGGAAGTGCGAATCAAAGTGGCATTGCCACAAGTAGGACAAAATTGCTTCTCCATATTGGCGGTAATTCTGACAATATCCAATTGAGGTTAATAAAAAAACTCAATGGAATTAGCAAATAAATAACATACTTAAAACAAGCATGGCACCGGAGAACCCAATTTTTCACTTTGTTAATTCTCAATCCTTCGACAGATACCAGATTCAAGTGCATCTGTAGTAACACATTCTTTCAATAGTGATTAAGAAAATTAAGTATGAGTAGCGTAAGAAGATGTGAAAGTAAGTTCGATGTATGATATTTACCTGTATAGTATAATCTGTTGTCATACAGGCGACCTTAATGTATATAGAGTTTCTATTAGATTTTATTGTTAAATTTTGATCTTTCTCCTGATAGCTCTTTATGTTATCTGGAGTTATCCAATCATCTGCATCGTCACTTTCACCACTATAGTGATCAGGAGAACTTTGGTTGTCCGGTGATTCGGGAACATCTTCATCTTGCGAACTGGTGGTCCCATTTTCGCCTGAAGTTTTTTCTTGCTCCAACTGATGAGGATCTTGTACAAAATCATCATTTGGCGAGGCTCTTATATTTACCCCCACAGATGACTTTGTGGTTATTTCATTTTTTGTCAATGTTTTAGAGATCTCGTTGTTCTTAAAATCATCTTCAAATTTGTTAGTCAGATCAGTAAAATTATCTGTGACCGATATGTTATCTCGTATTGATTTATTCTCGTTTTCAATGGTATTTTCTGAGAGAATTAGGCTCCCCAAGTTTGTCGTAATGTCATGAACATTGGCATCTTTATGTGATTTACAATCGTTGTCTTCGTTTTCTCTCGCAATTTTCGTGGAATCATGGTTTCCACCTTGTCTGACGCAAAACTAACAAACAATCAAAGTGAGCATTATTGCGATTATAGAAAAACAAAAAGATATAATACATTACTTTGAGTGGCTCTTTTTGTAAACGTTTTGTGCCATTAGCTTCAACCTCAAGCATGTATGTCAATGCCAAAACTCTCAGATCAACCGCTGATAAATTAGCATAGTCCCCCGATTTTTTCGAGAAATTCACAACTAAATTTCGGTATCAATTACTGTGTTAAAAAGTATCAACATTTGAAAATCCAAAGACCGTTATCAAAATGCAATGAACCTTCTTTCAAAGCATCTTGAGTAGGATTTTTGACTTCTATTTCAAATGAAATTTGACTCAAAAAATCACGAGAATGTTTGTCGCGAATTTCAGATATTACTTCAGGGACCGTGTATATTTTTTCGGCCAGCGGGCGAATATTTGCTCCTTTAATCAAAGGACCTGAATCAACCACCAGGCATTTGAATTTATGTCTCTGTTCATTGGTAACCATTGAATTCATTGAATCCATCACTCATGAACTAAAAAAAATAAATTTGGTGATAATCATTTGTGTTACTTGTCAATTTATAAGATACTGTCCACGCATATATTTTGTATTATTGGAAAAAAAATGTATAGACAGTCGATATACGATCAGTTCTCCGAGGAGTCGGCAGGTATTTTTTGCGTGCAAAGATTTGAGCGGATTTTCAGACACACGAAGCTCTAAATATTTAAATAGCAATTTGATCTACCTTTAACAAGTTCTGAAGCATTATGGACTCGACACTATGGAACCTGATGTGTGGGTAGATGAACATGATTATAGGAAGTCTGTTAGATATTCTTATTCTGAAGGGCCGGTTGTTCAATCTAATAACGGAAGTTCCGGGGAGGAAGGATTTAGTTGGGATGACGCCGATCCTCTTGGTTTGAAACAGAGCGTTTTTTGGTAAATTAGTTCGATTGTCTAAATTGGTCAGATAAGAAGTCTTACTCGTTATCATTACCGAACTCGACCAGGAATGACACGTTACCCTCCACTCAGGACGCTATTGAAAATCTCAAAGAAAGTAAATAATAAAGTATTTCTATTTTATAAACCTAAGAAAGAATTGATAGGTAACTTGGTATGATCTATAAATTTCTTTTATAGAATCACAGTTACTTGTCGGTACCAAATCATTTAATCCAAAATATTTTCTGCGGCGAGTTCACAATGATACTCCTTACGAGGATTTATTAAGGGGTGCTGAAATGCTTAGATATACTCTCGATCAGAAATCGGAAGCCCTTCGGAATCTGGTGCAAGATAATTTTGACCGATTTGTCAGTGCAAAAACTACAATTGACACTGTTTATGATGAAATGAAAGCACAGAGCTTGAATGAAGATAGTGAATATGGTGTTAAAGTATTAAACCGTGCATTATCAGGTATATTATTCATTAGATTCTATATTTGGTGAAAAATAAAGTATAATTTCTCTGGTGTAATCCATCAAGAATTATTGCTTGTTTTTAGAGGCCTCTAACAAAGTCGAACAGATCTTTGGTCCGGTATTGGTAAATCGAAGCAAAGCTGAAAAAATACGTAGCACATTGAGTCTTCTGGAAAAGTATAAATTCTTCTTCAATTTGCCCAGTAGCTTGATGGAGTCAATTAAACAGGTACGGTATGAGGAACTTCAGTTATAATTATAATTTTATCTAATTTACGGAAGTCCTTTAGCAAAAATACGATGTCGTAATCAGAGATTATAAAAAAGGAAAGATAGTTCTCGAATCGACAATGTCATCTGAATCATCAGATAATAATGTATCGACAAATAACCAAATCGAAAGAGAGATGGAGGATGCTGCACTTGCTGCGCAATATAGGAAGGTTTTCGATAAGGTTTGGACAGAGATTGAAAAGATAATGGAGGAGATGAAGGATGAGTTGTTCAGACAATTGACAGAACATTGGAGGTCAATGGAAGAACAAGAGAAGACCATTAAGTGGGTGCTGTTGACTTGTTCGACCGATACTAATGTCCTTACTTTGTTGCTTTATTCACATATATCTATTTATCTTTAATACCTCCAATATTTGCCCAATAATTTTCTATATTTAGCATTTTACTTGAACTGGACACGGCCGAAGATCCCGTGTGGCATTATCTGGATAGTCAGTACAAATTTATCACTAGTCTTCTTAAAGAATCATATCAAGAACAATTGGACAAAATCAAAGGTTTATATCTTATAGTTCGTGGTTGGAAGTGGTCCTAAAATTTCGACTTGTTAACGTTATTGATTTTTTTTAAAAAATATTAGTTCTGAAAATCTCATTTGAAGATACTCCAGATGATAAAAAGGAGATCGCATTACGCCTTAAGAAAGCAATTGGGCTTGTCAACATAAGGGATTTTGATTCGTTGGCAGGTAAGAAGCTTCATAAATGCCTATCCTGAATAATTTGAGCGTTTATTCATTATCTATGTTTGCTTCTTCTCTTATGTATAATTTAGCTAGCAAAAGCATGGATATTCAAATATGGAAGGCTATACTGGAAATTGTTAAATCACTGTCAGACTTGCTTTTAAGATGCTTGCCAGACTTTTGGAAACTTAGTAAATCATTTATGGAAGGGAAGTTTCAAAAGGTATGTTGTATACAGTTTTTATTATACAGCGTTTGACATCACGGTTTCTTGACTTTAATAATAAAACCTTTTTTTTTTAATCAAGAGTCCTGCAGTACTTAGTTCTAACCGACGTAGACGTCAAGGGATGGACCTTAGGAAAGTTGAACAATGTCAAAATATGACTAAGGGTGTAATCGACCTTTACGCTGCATTACTCTCAGAGTTCTTTGGTCTGTCATCTCAAGCCAAGGATGCCCAAAATCCCATTTTGTCACTTGTTACACCGAACTCTGATTCAGTGACTACTTGCTATTTTTTGACGAAAGTTCTCAATGAGTTGAGTGAGTGTATGAACGATATTGATTCGATCAACATGGCCTCAGATGCATCAGTCGCATTGAAAGGATTAATGGAACATATAAGGTGGAGGTTTGTTGAAATTATATGCGACGCTTGGAATTCAGGTATTTGGTTGAACTTGATCAATCATCAGGCAGCTTTTTCTTTTTATGAATCATTACTTATTTTTTTGTTTCTTAGACGCGAAGATATTTCACCTGCTGGAGGACTGGACTCTCGATCAAGATAATCGCGAGATTACGAATTTTTTACGGAATTTTCATATATTTCACAAGTATAATTCTCGCAGTGCGTACAAAATTGCAAGTTTGGATTACGTTTCTGATAAGGAGGATTCTAGTGTGAGTTTCATTATTTGGAGGTATCATTCTTTGTACCAATTTTAACATTTTAACATCCACGATTATATAAGATTTCAGATGCATACATGCAAAAGATCAAAGGTGCTTTCCTCGATTCTCTATATTCCTACTTGGATGGATTAGTGCACTTGGTATTTTCCGAATATACACCGCTAGAGCCTCATGATAAAGAACCGACGGATGCCATTAATAAGTACAGGATCGATCCCACGCAAATGGTAATCTCATAATGTTGAGGAACTTACCTTAAAAGAATATTTTTATTAACTGGAATTTGATTTGATACTAGGACTCCAGGATTCTGCTCACCATTAGCAATCTCTCTAATTTAAAGCAATTGATGATTCCAAGGATCGTCTCTCAATTTGAAAACGCATACAAATGTAGTATGTCCCAGGAAACTCATGTACGTTTTCCTCGTCATTACCCTCAGCGTAGAAAACTTCGAACGACTCAATACGCATAGATTTTCTCTTACATTTTAGGCTTTAAATGATGTCGTCAACCAATTGGACGGCATATTGTTCGAGGACTACATCAAACGAAGAACTGAGGTGGTGCGCGACATCATCACAAAGGGAATTCTTTCAGGAGATATAGATTGGTACAGGATATCTAAACCTAAAGGTATAAACATGCTTTGTTTGCGTGGCTGAAGTTTCCTTTGTTATTATTATTTTCTTACTTTTTTGAAAAAATCTTCTTTTTCTTCAGAGGTTCACTCTTTCGTGTACGAAGCTTTATTATCGCTCGTATTGGTTCACGCCCAAGTTAGCGAAATAGCCAAGCATCTCGTTAGTCGTACGCTATCAGTGTTATTGGAAAATATGGCTCGGGATTTTCTAGAAGCTTTCCAGAAGGTTAAAAAATTTGGAATGGGTGGTATGCTCCAGGTAATTGTGGATACATCAGGTAAATTTGGTTTGCTTTGACTGATCATGTGACTTAACCGTTCTCCACTTGATGACTCACTTATAGGCAACTCTTGAAATTGAGTTCATGCATCAAACCTTGTCCCAATACGTGACGCCACGAGCCCAAGAGACTCTTCAGCTAATATACACCACCATTGAACAATTATACGATACTGGTCAGTCGTCGGGAAATCTTGAGACGGAATTAAGTGGCGTGAAACAATTACTGGTCGAGAGTCGTAAGAACACAAGCCTGCAGTTCATGTGTTTTAAAAAACCAAAATGATTGATGTGAAGTTCGTATTATTAGAAAGGTCTAACAATTCTATAGATATATATTTATAACGTAATTCGAGTTGGTACAGATTCTATTGTTATATTTTCTTAATTTATCGAAGTAATTTTCGAAAAGTTGAAGTTTTATTAAAAGTCACAGTATATTTCTCCTTAGCTTGGAGAATATTGAAAAGATAATTGAATGAACACCCGTTTGTTTTGGCATTCATCAACGAGGGTGAACGATGTTTTTATATATGATTTGATTAATAATACAGTAGATTTACGAAAACCGCACAAGGTGATTCTCAGAGGAAACGATTTTAGGCCGTTAATAATCAAATTGTTTATCAGTTTTTATTGTGGTTCTCGAAGAAAAGGAACTACCTGCAGATATCCAAGTACAAATTCACGAAAAGGAAAAGGATCATTGAAATTTTCCACACGAAACAGCTGTATATATATATATATATATATACTAAAAAAAGAAATTTTTTCGTTCAGATAATTATTAAGAAACTTCATCTACAATCTACTGTTGCGATCGCCTCTAGCGATTATTTGACTCTTTCTTTCGGGGGGAACAAAACAATCCGCGTTTTCCTGCAAGATATCGTTTTCGATGATTAAAGAAACAATAACAAAAAAAAAAACTTGAAATACTACAGTAAACATACTTCAAAGAATTCAGTGATTCTTGTTGGTCTATCGCCGGTAATCATGTGGTAGTCATTGGTTTGTTGGGCCTTTTCTTCTTTGACATAGTCAAGATAATCAAGTCTACAAATTTTGTCAATGAGAAATCATGAGAATGATCTATGATCACGTAAATTTTGTAATTATACTCACACAAGTTCGACTTCAAATTTGCGCAAAGGTAAGAACGGTCGATAGTTGCTATCACATCGATCAGTGGTGTTATAGAGGAGTGGAACGATGTCAGATTGTCTCTCGAGGGCCTCAATAACTTCGGTACCTTCCTTGAGATTGTTCAAGAAGTTGGTACGGCTTGTCCTGTTCAGAACTTCTATGTTCTCGACGTTGATGCTCCTCAATTTATTGAGAACGTCCTCCACTTGGTTTACAAAGTTAACAATGATTCTGGATTGGGAGTCGCTGAAGACCAATTGATTTCTTCGTTGGTTCTGAACGCGTGGGATGCGTTGGTCATTGTTAGGACCGTACACACCTCGTAAATCGTTTTGTACGTTTTGCGAAATTTGTTGATCTAAGCGTTGGTTTCGAGCGTCGCGAAGGTATTGTTGATCTAAGCGTTGATTTCGGGCTTCACGAAGGTATTGTTGATCTAAGCGTTGATTTCGGGCTTC